TATATATATATATATATATATATATATATATATATATATTGGTGATCATATGAGAAGTTTGAGAACTAATATTCCCATGAGCACGTGATAACTAATCATGACCTTTGATTTGATGTTGTGGACGACAATGATTTGATCTGATTTTATTGCTTATTTATTTATGTGGGGTGGTTTAGTAATTTTTAGTGCATATAAAATGTTTTAGTTATTATTTTTTGGAATAAGGTTCAAATTGGCCACTGAACGTAACCTGAAAATGCAATTAGGCCACTGAACGAAAAAAAAAAAAAAGTGCAATTAGGCCATTGAACACTCAAAAAATGTGCAATTAGGCCACTGGACTCTCCAAACGTATGCAATTTTACCGGATAGCAGGTTACCTGCTTACGTGGCAGCTAAGTTGACATTTTTAATAATTTTTAAATAATTTTTAATAATTAATTTTAATAATAAATTTTATAAAAAATTGAAAAAAATTAAATAAAAATAAAATAAAGTCGTTTTTATTTTTTAAAAAATTGTTTTAATAAAAATTTATTATTAAAATTTATTAAAAATTAATTAAAATTTATTTAAAATGCCAACTCAGCTGCCACGTAAGCAGATAACCTGCTAAAATTGAGAGTAACCTGCTATCAGGTGAAATTGCACATTTTTTGAGTGTTCAGTGGCCTAATTGCACTTTTTTTTTCGTTCAGTGGCCTAATTGCATTTTTAGGTTACGTTCAGTGGCCAATTTGAACCTTATTCCTTATTTTTTTTTTAGAGTTATGCATGATTGTAGAAGTAGTATTTTTGGTATATATATTAGGATTCTTCCACCTTTGTGTGTACACTCATTTTATTCTGCGCTTTTTGAGGTTGTGTGCAGACGTGCTTTTTGTTGTTTACATATCAGTGCCACTGCCACGTGTTAAAGCATCTGACAGATTATTTGCTGAATTTTGCAAATTAATAATCTTCTGAACTTCTAGTTCAACTTTGTCATCCCATGAAATTTCTCGACATTTTGTTAAATGTTGACTTTTATCTCCCCCTAATATCGAGAAATGATCTTCATAAAAAATGCAGTCAGCATACCTCGCAGTAAATTGATCCCCTGCCATGGGCTCTAGATATTTAATGATAGAGGGAGATTCATAACCAACATAAATACCCAGCCCTCATTGCTGGCCCAGAGAGGTACGATGTGTAAGTGGTAGTGGGATGTAGACTGCACAGCCAAAAACACGCAGATGGGAAATGTTTGGTTCAATGCCACGTACTAGTTGTAAGGGGGAATATTCATGATATGCACTGGGTTGGAGTTGAATTAAAGCTGCAGCAAGCAATACTGAGTATCCCCAACAAGAAACTAGTAAGTTGGACTTCTGTAATAATGGTCTAGCAATCAATTTAATACGTTTAATTTAAGATTCGGCTAGACCATTCTGAGTATGGACATACGGTACATGATGCTCCACTTTGATGTCCAAAGCCATACAATGATCATTAAAAAACAGTCGATGTGAATTCCCAGCATTGTCCATTCTTATGGATTTAATCTGATAATTAGGGAACTGGACATTTAGTTCAATAATTTTTACAATAAATTTAGAGAAAACTTTGTTGCTCGTGGACAACAGACTAACATTAATCCAACGAGTAAAGACATTAAAGACCCTGAAGTGTCTAAATGGTCCAGATGGTGGATTCATTTATCTACATATCTTTTTAGTTAATTCATTAGTCTATTACTCCAATTAATAGTTATAAGCCTCTCATTACTTCAATTTTTCAATTTAAAAATAAATTTTAGTGACAACCCACGGTAAGAGGCTATGACCAATTTGTTCTCTTCCCAAATGAAGAAGAACACGAATACAAGCAACATCCATTTTTAGCAAATTCTCTTCAATCTCCTCCAACTTTCCCAACGTAAGAGGAGAAAGATACCATTATTGGTGTAAGAATACTATGACAAGGTACCCACCCATAAGGCCATAAAATAAAAATTAAAAAATTAAAAAAAAATCAACAAATATTTAGCACATTATAAATTAATTATTAAACTCAAAATTTCATCTTTCTGAGACTTAAACGTTAATTTTTGTAATAACGTTTTTATTGTTTAAAAAAAATTAAAATTAATATGGAATAAAAAGTTGACAATGAAAATAGAAATGAAAATTAAAAATTAAAAAATTTTCCATGCTAGCCTAGTGAAGGTCCAGAAGGTCCGTCTTCAAGTTAGGGTCATGGTCACTTCTACCCACCACGGATTAACTATATAACATTTTATCTAGTAATAAAAGATTGTTATACATTTTTTATATATAACTAAAAATGTTATTTTAAAATTATCTATTAATTTAATATTCCTTTAAAAAAGAAATTCTTTACACTAACTGTTTTTCTTTTTAGTTTTTGGTTTTTGGTTTTTACATATAAAGAGAGAGAAAAATCAATCATGAAATTTATTACTACAAGGTTTGTGCTAAGCTTTCTTTTTAATTTACCTATTCCCTTTTCACTTTTATTTGTATGATTAGATTAACAAGATTCGGACTGATGTTATTTATATTTTAATTTTTTATAAAATTAAGTTTAATATTTATAATATTAAATTTATATATTTAAGAATTACACTAAAAATACTATTAGACACAATAAAATTAAATTAAAAACATTAAGAAATTAAAATACTAAAAAAGAAAAAGAAAATTGATTTGAGTAATAAATACTAAATATGACAAGTAAAATGAGATAGAGAAAATATTATTTTTTAGTACGTGAGGTTGTTATAGAATGCAACAAATGTGTATACCTACATTAAAATTGCTCATAATTTGGTTATGGACCATGCTACACATAGATACTTTTATCAGTAACAAACCGTCACTCCCTATTACATAAGATTAAATTATGTTTTTTTTTTTTTAAAGAAAATTAAAATTTAAAAATATATATAGTATCTAACATTTTGCCACAAAAAAAGTGATGATTGTGACTTGTGAGTAACAGTGGTAGGGTGCTTACAGTTGTGACACACAGTTTTCAGTGAAATGACAAAAACAGCCCTATATTTATTATTTAATATTTGAACACATGTTTTATAGAATCTTGGTGCCATCTATCAGCCGAAAGGCAATTATAATCGTGGAATTTGTGCGTGTTAGCAATATTATTATTATATGTTACATATTTGACTAGTCTTTGTAATAGGTTAGTTCGAGAAAATTTCAATTTTGGTCCATTGACTATTAGAGTTGTGTTAATTTTAACACTTGACTTTCAAAAATATTAATTTACTACCCTGACTATGTAATTTCTATCAATTTTGGTCACGCCGGCCAAATGTGACCGGAAAATCATAAATCAACCTTTGAATTGAATTGGAAGGGGTAAAATTGTCTTTTCTTGTTAATTTCAATTTGGGGATCGGAAAATGATTTGTTGACCAAAATAATCACTGTCAATCTCCGGCCATCTGACACAAGCAGCCGCCGAAGGTTGACAAATCATTTTCCGATCCCCAAATTGAAATTAACAAGAAAAGACAATTTTACCCCTTCCAATTCAATTCAAAGGTTGATTTATGATTTTCCGGTCACATTTGGCCAGTAATTTGGCTGGCGTGACCAAAATTGATAAAAATTGCATAGTCAAGGTACTAAATTAATATTTTTGAAAGTCAAGTGTTGCGTTTAACACAACTCCAATAGTCAGTGGACCAAAATTGAAATTTTCTCAGGTTAGTTCTCTATGGCCTTCCTGATAGATAGGATTAGTTTACGCTGATTGTTTATAGTCTATAGTATTATAATCTCTATTCTATTGGAATTGAACTGTTAACGTTTATCTCATCTGGTATTAGATAGTCCAGGACGTTTCTCTCTCCTCTCTCCCCTCAAACGCCGATTACGACCCTCCTCCCCTATCCTAAACGCCGGCCGGCTACCTTCGGGAAATCCCAGCTATGTCAACTAATTCATCCAAACGGACTGTCACCGCCAACGGCACATCCCCTCCAGCCACCACCCAAAATCCCCTATCAAGTGCTCACCATTTCGTTTCGATAAAGCTTACATATCAGAACTTTCTTTTTTGGTGAACCCAGTTGGTGTCGTTCCTCCGTGGTTAGGAGCTCCTCGGCTATGTCGACGGGGAGATGCCATGCCCACCGCCCACTATCGCCGTTGTTCCGGCCTCCGGCGACTCCGTCTCCGACGCAACCACTGCGGCTCCGACGCCGAATCCGGCGTACAGAGCCTTGATTAAGCAGGACCAGTCCATATTATCTCTGATCATATCGTCACTTTCCGATGAAGTGATGCATTTGGCCATCGGGAGAACCATGTCCAGAGAGGTCTGGGAGTCCATCGGGGCAGCGCTGGGCAATTCCTCGCGAGCTCGGTGCCTGAGCCTTCTATGCCAATTCCATTATCTCCTGCAGGGCCACAGCAATGCGGTATAATACTTGGGCCGTGCTCAATTGTTGGTGGAAGATCTTGCGCATTCTGGCCGTCCTATTTCGCTCGACGAACAAAATATGTTCGTGTTCTGCAGCTTGCGTCTAGAATATCGTGCCATGGCTTCTTCTCTCACGACGGTAGGTACACCCGTAACAATTCCTCAGATCTCTGATTACCTGCAAGTGCAGGAGTTTATACACGCCGAGGACTTCCCGGCCGGATCCGTCAGCGTTGTTCGTTGGTCAAGGTCGCCGCAATGGTGGTGATGACGAATGAGGTGGTTCGGGTAGAAATGGTCGCGGCAACCAAGGCCGTGGTAGGGGCGGTCAAGGCCGCGGTCGTGGAGGACGTGGTGGTGCACCGCGTTGCCAGATATGCCGCTCGCAAGGACACACCGCGGTCTACTGCTACAAACGGTATGCACCGCAACCGCCGGCACAGGCGAATTTGGTAGTCTCCAGCGATGACTCGGCGATAGCAAACTCAAAGGCGGGATGGTTTTTGGACACCGGGGCGTCGGCCCATGCCACCCCCGATGCATCCATGATGTCGCAATCGGATGAGCACACCGGTAGTGACGTCCTCCGTGTTGGTAATGACGCAGGTTTGATAATTTCGCGCGTTGGTGATGCGTCTATACCATCCGAGTCAAAATTGTTACATTTATCTAATGTCCTATATGTCCCAAAGTTATCAATTCCTTTATTGTCTATTTACCGGCTTACGAACGAAAATAATGTGTTTTTTGAATTTCACAAAGATTGTTTCATTGTGAAGGATTCAATCACCAGGGCAGTGCTGCTTTGAGGTTCCACATCGGGCGGCTTATACAGGCTCCTGGTCTCTCAGTCACATTTTGCATATCTCACTTCCTGTGCAGCTCCTACGGTCTGGCACCCCAGGTTGGGCCATCGGCATGCCCATGGTCAAAACTGCGTCTTACAGTCGTGTCCGGTTGCACCAAATAAAGTCAAGTCGTTGGGGTCGTGCGCTTCTTGTCATCTCGGCAAAGCTTCTAGATTTTCATTAGATAGGGTTTCCTATTCCAGTAAAAATATATTAGATTTGTTATATACCACCATCTGGGGCCCTGCTCCTGTAATCTCTGCTAGTGGATTTAGATACTTTTTGCTATTTGTAGATGATTACTCCCGTTTCTGCTGGTTTTATCCCTTACTGGTAAAATCTGACATATATAAAACATTTGAATCGTTCCATGTCATGGTAGAACGCCAATTTTCGCGTTCTATCAAGTCTATTCAATCCGATCTAGGCGGAGAATATCGCAAGCTATATCACACCTTTACTAAACTTGGTATAACTCACCGTCAGTCATGTGCATACACGTACGAACAAAATGGCAGAGTAGAGCGCAAAAACTGGCATATCATTGAAACCGGGTTAGCCCTATTAGCCGAAGGTTCAGTTCCCCAACAATATTGGGACTTTGCTTTTGAAACGGCTACCTGCCTAATCAACTATTTACCCACGTCAGTCTTGTAATTTGAGAGTCCATACACACGGTTACACAAAACTCCACCACCATACACCTTTCTCCGAGTCTTCGGGGTGCCGGTGTTACCCTTATCTAAAGCCCTACAACCGCCACAAGATAGAGTATCGCTCGGCACCCTGTGTCGTCTTAGGGTATCCTACGACCTTTATGGGCTATAGATGCATGAACCTAACGAGTGGAAAAGTCTATATCTGTCGTCATGTGCGCTTTGACAAGTTTATTTTTCTTTTTTTTTTTTCAGACTCAACTCTACGCAACAGTTCTCAGTCCGTGCCACCCGCAATACCGTGGGCCTCTGGACCGGTCGTGTCACATGTTCCGTGCATCACTCACTCTGCACCGACGGACTCTGGCCATATGAGTCTAACTAGTCCGGTACCATTGGCCCGAGGTCCCTCTCCCTTGGCCATTGAAGGGCCTGTTCAAACGGCACCAGCCAGGGCTCGGGCTACCCAAACTCAGCACCAAGAACGAGGACATGTGATGAGACTCTGACACATGACACGAGGCACTGGCGAACAATTTCATGCTCTAAATCTAACTACTGACCCTACATGCTATTCACGGGCTGTTGGGCATCCGCAGTGGCGTGATGCTATGGGCTAGGAGTTCAACGCCCTTTTACACAACAATACTTGGAAACTTGTACCGGCTAAGCCACACATGAATGTGGTTGGTTGCAAGTGGGTGTTTCGCACCAAACGCAATGCGGATGGCTCTATAGAACGGTACAAGGCTTGTCTTGTTGCGAAGGGATTCAATCAGGTTGCAGGCGAGGATTTTTTCGACACTTTTAGCCCCGTGGTCAAACCGACGACCGTCCGCCTTCTGTTCTCCTTGGCTGTGTCACACAGCTGGACACTGCGATAGCTAGATGTACACAATGTCTTCTTAAATGGGCATTTAGCTGAAACCGTTTATATGAAACAGCCACCAGGGTATGAGGATCCCACGCATCCAGATCACCTGTGTCATCTTCAACAGTCGCTATATGGTCTTAAGCAAGCTCCTCGGGCTTGGTTTAATAGGTTACATGACTTTTGATCTCTGCAGGTTTCTTATCCTCCAAGACGGATGTTTCTCTTTTCCACTACTCTGCTGGCGCATCCTGGGTATATTTGCTTGTATATGTCGACGACATTATTATGATTGGGAACGACCCCACACTCATCTCTACTCTTCTACGTCGCCTATCTACCACTTTCAAGATCCGAGATCTTGGTACACCTGAGTTCTTTCTAGGACTTGAGACCTTGAAGGTAGATACGGGTTTAATGCTCTCTCAACGCGTTATATGAAGGACATTCTGAACCACGTTGGCATGTCTGATTGCAAACCGCTGGCAACACCGGCTGCCGTTACTCAACCTGTTACACCCTCCGATCAACCGTACGACAACCCAACTCAGTATCGGCGCATCGTTGGGGCACTCCAGTACTTGACTATCACTTAGTCGGATCTGTCCTACGTTGTCAATCGCTTGTGCCAATTCATGCACTCTCCAACTAATGATCATTGGGGTCTTCTGAAACGGGTTGTGCGGTATATCAAGGCCACTCTCGACTATGGTTTACGCCTCTCTGTCTCCGCCATCCATGCCTTTTCGGACTCGGATTGGACCGGGTGCTCGGTCAACAGGAAAAGTACGAGTGGCTATGCCGTTTTCTTAGGGACTAATCTCATCTCTTGGCTATCCCGGAAGCAGCGCACGGTAGCCCGGTCATCAACTGAAGCTGAATGCAAAGCCCTCGCAGATGTCTCTGCAGAGGTCAGGTGGGTTGTCTCGCTGCTTTGTGAACTTGGTCTCCACTCCGGCGAACCATCCACTCTCTGGTGCAATAATCTAGGTGCCACCTATCTCTGCGGAAATCCTGTCTTCCACGCCAGAACCAAACATGTTGAGATTGATTTCCACTTTGTTCGAGACAAGGTTGCCTCTGGGGACTTGGTTGTTAATTTTGTGTCTACAAAGGATCAGCTGGCAGACATTTTCACCAAACCGTTACCGGGGCCCCGTTTTGAAACTCTCCATGACAAGCTCAATGTTGTGGCTCACCACCATTGTGCTTGAGGGGGTGTGTTAGCAATATTATTATTATATGTTACATCTTTGACTAGTCTTTGTAATAGGTTAGTTCTCTATGGCTTTCCTGATAGATAGGATTAGTTTACGCTGATTGTTTATAGTCTATAGTATTGTAATCTCTATTCTATTGGAATTGAACTGTTAACGTTTATCTCATCGTGCGTAATGTGCACATATTGACATGTGTGTTCTTTTCACCTTCTTTCCTCTGTGACTAATTGAGCTACTCATGCGGATTCATTGACAATATCATAACATAGAAAAATGTAAATACTCGATGTGTCTGAGCAGAGAAAATAAGAGGGACCTTAAGCTGATAATAAAAGACTACCTATCAAAAACAAGGTAGATTGTCTGTCGTCGATTGTTTCGTTACAGGTCGTCACTATGATGTGTATACTGTTTTTGATGTGTATACTGTTTTTTAGTTAAAACTTAATATTTTTTTATAAACACATAGAAAAAATATTATATTTTAACTAAAAAATATTATATATCTCACACACCTTACAGTGAGACAATCTCAAACAAAACCTATATTCTTTTTTAGGAATATGTTTTTTTTTTTTGTCAAATTAAGTTTTTGTTTTTCTTTTCACTAAAATGAATATTTTCCTTTAACGATGTTATCATTTTTTATAAACATTGAAAAATCTGAAAAATAACTTAAAACATTTTTTGAATTTCTAAACAAATTCTTAAATCTATTAAAGCAAGTTTGGTTCACGGAATGAATTTTGAGGTAATAGGAATGCTATTCTACAAGGAATGGAATAGGCAAGGAATAGAATATGAATTGAAGTTCGAAGAATTCAGTGAAGAGTGGACTTCCAACAGTAGCAGCGGCAGAGGACAAAGACGACGCTGGTTTGTTTTATTTCTGAGCTTATTCGATCTGCTTTATTTTTTATGATGATGATAGATCTGTGTCTTCGATTTTCTGAGCTTCTCTGGCTCGGCAATTTCCGATGGCAGAGGACGATGCTTCTTTGTTAAAGTTGAAGGCACCAAGTCCGAGACCACCCGACACCTTGAGGGAAGAAACATCATCTCCAGTTGCGATCGCAACCTCTCGCCGGTCAACAAGGTCATCATCACATGCAGTGACAACTGCTCCACGTCCAGACAGAACTAGGGTTTTTCATTAAGGGGCCAGCATCACCACCAGTTTCATTGTTCGTGGAGACAATCACCGATTCAGATCGAACTTTAAGCTATTCTTGAGAACTCATGAATAGCCTAATACAAGGGAGTGGCCAAGAATCTCTATTCCCTTTGCAAGGGGTATAGGTTATTCCCATGAACAATATTCCTAGGAATAGGTGGTTTTACCAAACAAAGAAATAGGCCTATTACTGGTAATGTTATTTCATTCCAGACCTATTCTGTGAACCAAATGTGCCATTAATCTATTATGTAAAACAAGTATTACTAGCCTTTCATTTGCAATGGTTTTTACTAGCCTTTCATTTATAATGATATTAAACGTCACACATGGTGTTATTTTGATGTCAAATAGCATATGTTTCCACCATAATAAGAAAGTGATTTATATTTTTTGTTTTTAGTTTAATTTGTAATGACTTTTACTAGTCATATATAAAGTACTATATACATAATTTATAGAGACTTAAAATGTTTAAGAACAACTAAAAAATCTTTTATATACAAAGATTATATATTATTTTTTGCGCATCAACATTTAACCTTTATGCTGAATCATTGAGTCACCGTGATTTAAATCCTCCCGAATACTTCGTCAAACCAGGGTGTAGGGGACTAGGGGACATACCTTTTGGTTGGAGATTCAACCTTTTTGGAGAAGAAGAAGCTTAGACTAGCGAATTGTATTAGCTATTTATAGAAGGTGTGTTTAGTAAAATTAATTATTAACTATTACAGCTAAATTTATAAGGGTGTGTGTGTGTGTGCGCGTGCGTGCGTGTGGAAAATTATATATAAATAAGTTGGATAATAAATAAGTTTAGTGAACCCTTATTAACTGAACCAAACACATAAAATGAGAGAAGGGAGTAATTGGAATCCTTGTAAAACAGTTGCAAAATTCAATAAGGAAAATGCAATTTGTACTCCCAACGAACTTTTACTCATACTACTGGAAATTATTGAATTTCCGACCACCTGAAAGTGATCTTAAATTAAGTAGAAAGTCTTGTTCCGACCACTTTTGGTCTCCGGAAAAAACTTTGTTGCTATTTCCGACCACTTTTTGCTTTCGACTTGATTTAAGATCACTTTCAGGTGATCGGAAATTCAACAATTTCCAGTAGTGTCACACACACAAAACTTTGGTGTAGATACCTGTATTGGGACCCACATAAAAAAAATAGCTTATCCAAACTCGTCACATCATGAAGTAAAATTGAAGAAGTAAGATTTGGGAGTAAATGTAATAAAACTCATTCAATAATTTACAAAGTGAGCCGAATTTGGTTAGTTTAACGACATGGATGGGAAAATTGGAAAAAGGATGCTAAAATATACGAAAGTGGTTGTAAGAGTACAAGAAGAAAAGCACAAGGCATAAATCAAACACAATCTATTAATCTATTACACTAATCTGTTTGGAAACTCGGAAAATGACTTCTGGAAATCATTTTTCGGGTTTTTGGTGTTTGGGAAGGCTGAAAATAAAATGGTCAAAGAAAAATGCTAGTTAGTCAATGGAAAATGAGGGCTAAAATCCGGAAAATGACTTCCCCTTTTTTTGGCGGAAGTCATTTTCCATCTTCCAATCAAAACACGCTCAAACCTTCTTCTCCCAAAAAATGACTTCCCCTTTTCGATTTTTTTTTTCAACCTTCTTCACTGGTTTCCCCAGCCGGAAACCAGTTTGGTTTCCGGATGGGGAAACCAGTGCAGTCACTGGTTTCCGATCGGAAACCAGTGAATTGGTTTTCTGCATCGGAAAGCAGATTTGGTTTCCGATGCTGAAAACCAGTTCCGAAACCAGATGCAATTTTTTTTTAATTTTTTTTATGTCAAATTATGTTGCTGTTATTTTTTTGTACTGATTATATAATAAAATACTTTTGCTTAATTTGTGAATTTTAATTTTCAAGACTTGATTATTTATGTATTTATGTTGTTTCTAACATGTAATTGTGATTTCAAATTGTCATATTCGGTATATAATAATTAAAATGTTTTAGTATGCCATTTTGTTCATTTTCTGGAAAATGAACCAAACACCAAAAGACAATTTTCCATCATTTTCTGGAAAATGAACCAAACACCAAAAGACAGTTTTCCATTGTGCAGCCAAACACAGGAAAGAAAAATGACTTTTAGAAAATGACTCATTTTTCAGAAATCATTTTTCGAGTTTCCAAACAGACCCTAACATTTTTTATTTTTTTTTTTTGGTGTAAACAATCTATTACACTAACAATATTTATCCCTGTTTGGACCTAACCATTATATTTAACAATGCGCATGAAGGAAAAACATAAAAACATAAAAAGAAAAGGGCTAAAATTGAAACGTATTTTTAAGAGTACCAAAAAAAAAAAAAGAAAAAAAAAAGCGCAAGATATAACAATTAATGGAACCTATTACATCAATAGAATTTTTATTTCCATCTTAATTAACTTAACCATATTAACTCTTATTAGATTTGTTGGATAAATTTAATAAAACAAGGAATAAGGGTCAAATAGGCCATCGAACTGCACAGGATAATGCAATTAGGCCACTGAACCTAAAAAACCAACAATTAGGTCCCTAAACTAATCAATTTCAAACAATTCTTCCAATTTCAAGGTTTCCAACAGGTCAACAGGTCATCCTCTCAAATTAATTATTTTTTAAAAAAAATAAATTATAAAAAATAATTAATTTTAAATTTTGTTTAAAAAAAACATACGTTGTCTCCGGCCAGTCCAGTTTTTTTGTTTTTTTTTTTGTTTTTGTTTTTTTTTTGTTTTTTAAATATTTTTTTAAATTTAAATAATTAATTTTAAAAATTTATTTTTAAAAAATAATTAATTTGGAAGGATGACCTGTTGACCTGTTGAAAACCTTCAAATTGGAAGAATTGTTTGAAATTGGTTAGTTTAGGGACCCAATTGTTAGTTTTTTAGGTTCAGTGGCCTAATTGAATTATTGTGTGCAGTTGAATGACCTATTTGACCCTTATTCCATAAAACAATTAAGAAGAATAAAACTCAAAATACATTAAAACAAAACTAAATAGCCCCTAGTTGATTAGACAGGGTTCCACAAAGAAATAATGGACCAGATTTTGCCGACAAGAGAAGTGTCACCCTGAAGATGACCAAAAAAAAAACGGTAATCTTATTTAAGTTGTTTGAACATGAATCCGGCGGTGCTATTATTGCTTTTATAGTTTTAACTAGATATATACACGCATAATGTGTGATTAAAAACTGCCCAATAAACAAAAAATAAATAATAAATAAAGTTACATAATTGAAGTGAGTTTAAAAACGCCTAAATTTTATAGTTATTACAAGATGAAAATTTTATTTTTGATGATAAGTCGTATAAACTTTTAACAATATATTAAATTTAGTAGATATTGAGTTTCTAAATGATTACATTTTTAGCAAATACAAATCGTTTTCTTTTGATAATTGTTTATGTTTTAATTAAAGTTTTAACAACGATACAATAATAAAATGAGAATATTTTGTTTACAATATGTTAATAATGCACATATTCCACATCAAGTAAGATACAAATGAAAAAAAAAATTACATTTAAATTCTACTAGAAAAAGTAATATTTAAAATTGAAACAATGGTCAAATAGACCACTCAACTGCACACCAAATTGTAATTGGCCATTGAACTAAAAAAAATGTAATTGGGTCCCTGAACAACGTAACTTATGCAATTCAACGCAAAATGACATGTTTACTTGTAAACATGCTGACGTGGGCAGGTATCGAATTTAAAAATAATTTTAATTAAAATAATTATTTAAAATTAAAAAAAAATGCTCCTTCGGCCGAGACGAAGCCGATCCCTTCATCTCCGGTCGTCTCCATGGCTAGGGAGAGACGAATTGAATCGGCCCGATTTTTTTTTTTAGAAGGGTTATTTTTTCTAAATTTTAAATAATTATTTTAATTAAATTTATTTAAAAAGTTATTTTTTAAATTCGGTAACCGCCACGTTAGGTAAACAGGTCATTTTAGGTTGAATTGCATGAATTTGCGTTGTTCATAGACTCAATTGTACTTTTTTTTTTTTTTTTTAGTTCGATGGCTCAATTGCAATTTGGTGTGCAGTTGAGTGACCTATTTGACCCTTATTCCTTTAACATTTTAAAAACAAATTAAAAAAAAATAAAAGTTTTATATTTTCGAATATGAGAAATTGTATTAAAATAGGTACATATTATTTATTGATTTAAAGTATAATTAAGTTAAACTATAAAAAAACCACGTACACAATATGTGTGCATGTATTTGCATTTTACATAATAATAAAGGTATAATTGTCAAAAAGAAAAATATTGATGGTATAATTAGTAATAAGATATAAATTTACAACCCAAAAAAACACTAAAGAAAAACATTTAATTCTACCAAACATATGTTTTTTTTTTTTTAATTCAAGTAAAAGAAAATGTCAAAAGAAAAAATGTGAATGGTAAAATTGAAAAGAAAATGAAAATGTACAACACAAATAACACTCAAAATTAAAAAAATATTTAATGCAACTTATACTATCAACATAATTTTTATTTCAGTTGGGAACTAATATTATTGATTTTCATTAGATTTTAGATGAGATTAGGATTTAGAGGTAGAGATAGATATAAATGGGTTCGTTTAATAATGTTGTGTGTGACAACTGTGAATTATACTGTAATGGTGAATGGGGAGGTGGGGGGACGGGTCAGACCGACTCGTGGACTCAGACAGGAGATCCTCTTTCTCCTTATTTATTTATTATCTGTGCTGAGGTACTTTCGATGTTGTTGCAGAAAGAACAGATGACAGGTTCTATACATGGATGTAGAGTGGCCAGGGGTGCTCCCCCGGTGTCCCATTTATTCTTTGCGGATGACAGCCTGCTTTTCTTTAAGGCAAATATCCAGGAGGCTACTGTGATTAAAGAATGTTTGATGAGATATGAGAAACTATCTGGACAGGTTGTGAATGATAACAAGTCAAATATATGTTTTAGCCGTAATACCCAACACATGGCAAGAACACAGGTGGCGAGCTGCCTTCAGGTAGTGCAGGCGAGTAATTTTGGAAAATATCTGGGTCTCCCATCGTTTGTGGGTAGAAATAAAAGAGCAGTTTTTTCCTATGTGGAGGAAAAAATCAGGCAGAGAATTGGATCGTGGAACACAAAATTATTGTCTCAGGCTGGTAAGGAAGTTTTATTGAAAAGTGTGGCCCAATCTATGCCAACTTTTTCCATGAGTGTTTTTTTGCTACCTGAAACAGTTTGTCAATCCATTGAGAGGGCCATGAATAGATACTGGTGGGGAAGTGGCAGGGATAAGGCGATTCACTGGAAAGCATGGGATAAGTTATGTATCCCCAAGAAGTTTGGTTGTTTGGGTTTCAAGGAGTTGAGGGCTTTTAATTTAGCTATGCTGGGCAAGCAAGTATGGCGCTTTTTGACAAATCCAGAGTCTCTGGTGGCAAGAATATATAAAGTCAGGTATTACCCCACTTCTAGTTTTGTTGATGCTACTATTGGTAATTGCCCAAGTTTTTGTTGGAGAAGTATTATGGCAGCACATCCAATAGTGGTAGCTGGGATAAGACGCATGATTGGAAATGGGGAGACAACTCTTATTTGGGGACACCCATGGCTCAAGGATAATCCAAGTCCCTTGATACAAACAATTATGCCTGAGGAGTTGAGAGAGGCACGGGTAACAGGTTTGATTGACCCACAAACACAAACATGGGATCCACATATTTTATCTGATTTATTTATCCCAGAGGATGTGAGCAGAATAGTTATGATTCCTGTTAGCCCTGGGTATGATGACTCATGGTACTGGATGGGTGACCCAAAAGGTATTTATTCAGTAAAGAATGCCTACAGGCGTATTGTTGGGGATTATGAGAATAACTCAGGTGATTTTGATAAATGGGTTAAAATGTGGAAATTGAAAGTACCACCAAAATGGAAGACTTTTTTGTGGAGAGCAGTCTGTGATATTTTGCCTACTACCACAAATCTAATTAATAAGAGGGTGGAGGTTGACCCGACATGCCCTATGTGCAGATTTAATAATGAAGATGTGTTGCATGCATTAGTTTTTTTGTGAATATTCTGTATTACTTTGGAATATAACACAATTACCTATCACGAATATTATTACAGATTCTTTTGCGGAATGGTTAGCCGGGGCTATGGCAATTCTGACAGAGGAACAAACACAACTGTTGGTGGGTGTTCTGTACAATATTTGGAGAAGCCGCAATTCGGCAGTGTGGGAAGGGGCCATGACACGGCTGCAGGCCGTAGTGAAGGGGGCGGCAACCTTGTTGAATGCTTATGGTGCAGTACACGGCCGTGCGGCGAGAGAGGGAATACGGACACAATCCGAACCGGTGTTGCCCGGCAATCACATGCGATGCTATATGGATGCGGGATTTCGGCAAGAAACCGGGGAGGCTACGTATGAGATTGTGTTATTGGACCCCGATGGCTCGTTTGTGGCAGCTAAGAATGACAGATCACCTTTTTGTTTCACACCACTCATGGCGGAGGCAGTGGCTTTTAAAGAGGCACTGTCCTGGTTAGAAGAAATGAGTATAAATTCAGCCGAGTTGCTCACGGATTGTATGGTTCTGCGAGCTGCTATACATCACCAAACTACGCCCGTTCACTCGTACGCTGGGTTAGTAATTGATCAGTGCAAGACAATGATGTCCTTATTTAGTTCTGCTTCGTTAAGCTATGTGTCTAGACAGTTTAATTTACATGCGCATACTTTAGCTTCGTTAGCTTTTACACAGGAACATTCTATGTATTGGGAGTCTATCCCTCCTGATGCTATTATAGCTTTCATCAATTGATACAATCGACATATTGATTTTTTTAAAAAAAAAGAGGTAGAGATAGAGATTAGAGATTCATTCCAATCTTGAGTATAATCAAACAAGGAAACATTGCGGAGAAGGAAATTTGGTAAATTGGTAGGCTAAATTAATTAAAACTATATAATTTCATTTGGTATTGTAAATTCATTTGCGACGACTATTATTTTAGTGTTAAAATTTATCACGTTGGTGACCCCTCCATTTAAGACATGTCAAAATTTAAAAATTTTAAAGGCATTTTTGTCCTTTTAAATTTAAGATTCCAATTTGAGCATGAATAATGGATTTAAGCCCTAAGATTGACCCTAATCTTGAGTTCTTCTCCTCATTTTATCTTAATTTGAGGGGGAGAACTGCAAATTGGATAGATGACGAAAATACCCTTAATAAATTTCATATTTCGGCATGTCTTAAAGCCAGCGGGTCAAAGTCAAATCCAACTTGGTATTTGACCCTTCATTTTAGGGGGCCCTTCTTCCATTTTCCTCTCTCTCTACACTTAGAGAATACTCTCCATTCTCTCTAAACATGCAAAAACAACATCAAGTCCGTTTAACAGTCCAGGTCCACCCGATTCGCATCGAGAGGCACAGAAGCTGGCCCAAAGGGAATCATCACTTGTGGGAATCGAACCCAGGTTATCCCAGAATTCTCCCCCACAAAGAGAGCTCATTTGCCACTTGAGCTACCATGTTGGGTTTGTGTATTCTCTACATTGTTTATACATACAACATACATTCTACATACACCGGAATTACCCTTATCAGTCGTGGATGAAAATTGATACTGAAACAATAGTTGTAGATGAAAATTTATATGAATTAAACATGTGGACCAAACTGTCATTTTGCTAATACTCGTGGGATCAAAATTAGTATTTGTTCATAATAATTATATAAACTTGATCTATAATCAACAAAAAGTTAACTATCATTTTGAAATATAACTAGTATTTTACATGTACAATATAATGAAGAAAAATTTGAATTATATTCAACAAAAGTTAGTTATCTTTTTTAAATATAACTATTGTTTTACCCATGCAATGCACAGAAAACAATTATGTTATCATACATTTAAATAAAAAATTAGAAAAAAAAATTAAAAATATGTTAAAATGTACAATATAAAAATATAGTTTGGACTTTCATACATTTAGTTAGATATGTATTTTCATAGATACAAAATTAAAATTTGTATGGTTAATACTCTAATCAGGTACATATTTATTAGATAAATTTATAAACAAAATTTATATAATGAAATTGATTTATTTCTAATTGTATTATATATATATATATATATATATATATATATATATATATATATATATATATATATATATATATATATATATATATATAAAGTAATTCCAACAATACTGCAATATGAATAATAATTAAAGGAATTATATTTAGAAATCAAAAGATGTAAATTATAAATTTTGTATGAGTAGATTTAGACTATAACCGGACATATTTCATTATATTGTATATACATATAATATTTATTAATTTGTATTTTGAATACCAAATGATTCGAACCCTTGGCCTTTATTATAGCCAAACATATGCATGCTCTTCCAAATTTGTATTTAGGAAAATTTTATAATAATAATTTCTCTAATTATAATTTATATTGCTAGATTTATAATTAAGATAATTAAATTTAGAAATTGAATAATTTGTATTTTAATTTTGTATGATTAAAAAAATGTACATATTTTCATAGCGTACAAATTACTATAAATAGAATATATGTCTACATAAGTGGATAAAAACAAACATTGATAATACTTTTTTTTTTTTAATTATGTATATATATATATATATATATATATATATATATATATATATATATATATATAGAGGCGGGTTCAGGTGCGGCAGTGTCTTACGGTGCGGTTATTTCTTACGGTGCGGCAACACCAATAGTTCACCAAATATGCACCATCAACGTTAGGAAATACACCACACAAAACAGAGTAAACAGAGCCCTGCATCACCAAACACACACCATTAGGTGTGAGTAAAAACACCATACACTGTTCGGAAATACACCATTGGGGGTGGTGAGTTATATGGTGTGTTTTTTTGAGTCTGTGGTGTATTTTGTGATGTTTTATTACATTTCATTGGGGTGTGTTTTTATTACACTGTTGGTGCATATTGTTAACACTGTTGGTGTATTCTGGAATTTGACCGCACCGCCGCACCGTAAGACCCCGCCGCATATGAGCGCTCTTCTATATATATATATATATATATATATATATATATATATATATATATATATATATATATCATATTTTTCTTTGTATACAAAAACATTCTTATTTTAAAATTTTGTATTGATATCCGAGTTTTGTTTTATAATTTACTTTCATCATATTATAAACTTTTGCTTGTTATCATAAATTGTAAATAGATGTTTGGAAAACCATTAGTTTTGTTTCTAAATGTTGTTCAAACCTTCAACTGTAGCATAATCAAAACCACTTTAAGTTATCATTTAAATAATGTTGGGTAAGTTCACAGTAGCTTTTGTGGTTCAACGTTAGTTTGTGGATTTAAGATAAGTTTTTAACTAATTTTTTGGAATTTTGTTTCTTCTAATTCTATTATCTTTTATTCGTTACGTTTTAAATTGATACATAAGACATCATTCTTACCCCAAATAAGACATCATTCTTAAATATGTGGTTAAATGTAATACATTCACCCATGAATTCTTAATGGAGGCTAATGGTTTAGCCCTTCCTAGTTCCTAGTGGGGTGCGTGATGACTAGATTATTCTGTGTTATTTGGGTATAGTACCCCTTCTTATCAAATAATATAAGAAGAAATAATTGGGAACAACAAATAATAAGAAATGATTCACTTTTAATCTTTAAATTATATGGCAAGTGTAAAGTTGATCCTTAATTAATTATCATAATTTGTAATTTTAGTTTTTAATTAAATCATATATAAAAGTAGATATTTTTGCCCATTTAGGGACCAATATTGCAACTTTTACATGTAATTCTTTTTTGTAGTACTACTGACTCTGTTACAATGTAGTATATGTCCATACATACTTTCTCAACATATTGAAACACAAAGAGTTAATGTCCTATTTGTGATTCGGATTTGTGACCTCCCATTTGGGAGAGCCACAGTTATGTCGCTTGACCACAATGTCTTTGGCAACTTTCACAAGTAGTTACTTGACCAAAATATCCGCTTTTGTGATTAAGGGGTTAAAATTGTAAGTCATGATCATTAGAGACTAAATTTGTACTTGGTCTATTACTAAGGACTAAAAGTACAATTATTCCTAATAATAATAAGTAATGTGATTTGTATTTTTTGGGGGGTGTAATATCTTGTGGGGAATTTATATGAGTAACTTGAAGTAGTAAGTTAATTCTTGAATTAAATATGGATGATATAATGTGCTGCGTATAAATGATTCAAATTATACAAAAAAAAAAAAAACAAAAATTGAAGGTAATTATACAAAAATTAGTGCAAAAGATTTAATATAAATAGTATTTTCTCCTTGTGACCCTCCGCCGCACAAAAAAATAATAATAATAAATAGTATTTGCTCTGTATAAAACATCAATTTATGTTTGTTACTTGTATATTTAATAATTAAATTAAACAATAAATTGTGACATTGAGACTGGCTTTTCATGTGTTCCTTTGAGGTTGTGCCCTTCTTGTCTTCATAAAAAAAAATTAAATTAAACAAGTTAGGAATTTGTGATTGGATAAAAAAAAGTGTAATTTAATTTTGATGTTTGTAGGATGAAGTAGAGGAGGGCCAAGCTAAGCGAAGTTGGCGGCGAGAAGGTACCCAGAATTGAAGTTGAAGTTCACGAGTAGTGTGATATATATGATGAAATATGAAATAAGCGTGTCAACAACCAAACCCCAATACTATATTGTACCATTTTTCAACTTCAACTCTATTACCATATCACCTATGTCGACACTTTAATTTTCTCATCTGTTTTGTCTTGCTCATCACACGTGGCGTAACAATTGCAATATTATAGTAGTAATATTTATAAGAAAAATCGTGCTCATAACGTGTTGTATTGCAGGCCTTTTAACTCGTGAAGAACAGTAAGAAGAGGAAGAGGAAAATAAAGAACAAAGAAAAAAGAGATTTCTTATTCATCATCAACTCTGTACATCATTACATCAATATATATAACAGCTATTACAAGATCATACCATAAATATAAAGCCGTTACCAATCATATCATTAATGCTAAAATAATGTCCATAATTAGATTTTACAACAGATCTTTGAATTATTACATTATTCTTTTTGTTTTTCCTTCGATTTTCTGAAGCTAAGTAACGGTTTTAACCACATATCACTCTTGAAATGCATCATATTTGACGAAAAATGATATATTACATAGATTATCAAGAACCGACGAATAATTTCATAGAATTTTCTTCATTTCCCTCTAGGCTTGACCACGGTTCCGGTTTTGATTCGGTTCCAATTCGGAATCGCCAGTTCCGGTTTCGTAAATGGCCAAACCGGAACCGAAACTTTATAGTAAGGTTCAGGTTGGAACCGCCGGTTCTAACCGGATTTATTAAAAAAAGTAAAAAATAACTTTAATTTTTTAATTTTTTCCGGTTCCTTGTTATCTCGAACCTTAATCGGAACCATATTGGTTCCGGTTAGGAACTGGAACCGGAATCGTACGGACGGTTCGGTTCCGGTTCCGGTTCCGATTTCAATTCAACAGTGCACGGTTCAGTTCAACCGGACGGTTCGAACCGAACCGTAATCACCCCTATTTCCCTCTATGAATTGTCATGTGTAGTTAAGCATGAGAATAAATATTCTTAGGAATGAGTCATTCCATTTAGAAGAGGAATAATTATTTCGGAGGTGCCCATAGTATTAGACTATTCCTAAATTCTCAAAATAATATTGATTTCTAATTTACTCTCACATTAAA